AGGCTCTTATATTTTACATAAACTGGCATAATAATAATTCTAAGGGAAAAGTTAAAGATACATATTGTTATCTCTAGAGTGAATACTAAAATAATGCAAGTTAACTAAGAAGCCAAAGGTAACTTAAAGTGGAAATAAAAAATATATTCAATCAACCCCAAAGAAGGCAGACAAGAAATTAAAGAGAGGAGGCAAAAACCCAAAGAGCACTAGGCCACTGCTTTTGTTAAGTTCTGGCCAGGCCATATGTTCTTTGAGTTCTGTCTAGGCCATGTTTTCCTAAGCTTTGGCCCCCTCTCCTGCCTTGGGGAAGTGAATCTCCTCTTTCTCTCTTTATTTTCTAAATAAACTATATTTTTCAATCTTAAAAAATCAGAACAAAAAAAAGCACAGATAAATAACACAACAGCATACTAAATCCAATTATATCAATAATTATACTAAATGCAAAGGAACTAAACACTCAAAAGACAGAAATTATCACACTGGATTAAGAAGCAAGACCCAAGCATGTGCTGTCTAAAAGAACAGAAAAAGATACTATGATAGTGAACACAAGAGAGACGGAGTACACATTCTTTTCAAGTACACACTCTTCAAGTGCACACGATGTGTTCAACAAGACAGCCATGCACTAAGCCAAAAAAAATAGGTCACCATAAATTTTGATAGAGATTCCAATAATATGGACTCTACTCACAAAAGAATTAAATTAAAAATTAACAACAAGATATCCAGAAAGCACTAAATATGTGAAAATTAACACCATACAACTGTGGGCTGGGCATGAAGTCTCACTGTAATCCCAGTGCTTTGGGAGGCAGAGGTGAGAGGACTGCCTGAGCCCAGGAGCTCGAGATCAGCCTGGACAACTGGGTGAGACCTCATCCCTACAACAAATAAAAATAAAAATTAGTTGAGCATGGTGGCGCACGCCTGTGGTTTCAGCAACTTGGAAGACTGAAGTAGAAGGATCACCTGAGCCCAGCAGGCTGACACCGGGGTGGGCTGTGAGCGTGCCACTGTACCCCAGCATGGGCAACAGAGTGAGACTGACTCAAAAAAACAAAAACAAACAAACAAACAAAAAACTCCATACAACTCTAAAGAGTGAGTGGGTCAAAAGGAAAATTACAAGGAAAATTCAAAAATATTTCTCTCTCTCTTTTGATTTTTTTGAGTTGGGGTTTTGCTGTGTCACCGAGGCTGGAGTGTAGTGGCATGATTATGGTTCACCACAGCCTCAACTTCCTGGTGTCAGGCGATCCTCTTGCTTTAGCCTCCCAAGCAGCTGGAACTACAGGTGCATGCCATTATGCTCCGCTAATTTTTAAATTGTTTTGTAGAGATGAGGTCTTGCTATGTTGCCCAGTCTGGTCTTGATCCCCTGGCTCAAGCAATCCTCTCACCTTGGCCTACCAAAGTGCTGGGAATATTATAGGCATGAGCCGCCATGCCTGGCCTCCACAAAATAATTATAAAGAGAAAAAGAATAACATTGTAGCAAAGAAGTCTAACAAACACCAACTTAATCGAGGGATCAAATTAAATAATACCAGTAGTGGGACAAATCAAAATCATGCACCCTCAGGTGAGAATGCCTTAAGATCAAAGCTTCACTGCTGCCAACGATGCAAATCTGAGTCTAATCATAATGAAATGTCAGAAACACAAAAATATCTGATTAACTCAAACTAAGGGACAGTCTACAAAATAACTGGTCCATGGTCTTCAAAAGTGCAAGGTCAAGGAAGTCAAAACAGACTAAGTGATGGTTCCAGGATAAAGACCAAATAAACATGACAAGTCAATGTGACAACTGATTCTGGGTCAGATCCTTTTGCTAGAAAACATCTATGATCAATTCATGAAATGTTATGTGTGCTGAAGGATAGATAATCACATGTATCAAAATTAATTTTTCTGATTCTGCAAGTTTCATTGTGATTGTGTTTGCAAAAAATATGCACAAATGTATTTGGAACAATAAACAACTTACTATCAAATGCTTCTAGAAGAAAGGGTTTACTCTGAATATCACATACACTGTTGGTGGGAATGTAAAGTAATGTAGGTACTCTGGAAAAGTTTGGCAATTTCTCATAAAACTAAAATATACACATTATGATCCAACAATCTCTCTCTTAGGCATTATGACTCTATGTATGTAATAGTCTCAAAATGATACAATTTTATAAATGAAGAACAGATTAAAGGTTGCCACAGGACAGAAATGGAGTGAGATGGTATAAAGGAGTAGCCCAAGGAATATCCTTTGTGGTGATGGAAGAATTTTGTATCTTGATTGTGATGGGGGTTACGTGAATCTATCTATACACATGTTCTACAGAAGCAGACGTGTATACATGATCCAGCTTAAGGAATAATATGAATGTAAAACCTCCTGTGATGTTCCTTTATTGTTTTCTCTTAACTCACATTCAAAAGTAAACAGTCTCCTTAATTTTGTGTTTATCACTTCTATAAACTTTATTTTTTCTATAAATTTCATTCTAAGTAAATCCCATTTGAGTTTAACTCCTATTGATACGTAGCATTTTCATAGTTTCACTGTAAATATTTTCTAAATTCCAATATGAGTTTTTCTTTGACTAGTGATTTTTAAAGTAGTAAAACACAAGTTTTCTTTATTATTGTGTCTTGGTTACTTTTTGTAAATGTGCCGTGGTCAGAGAACATAGTCTGTGTAAAACATATTAAAGCATTTACTGAGATTTACTTTGAGGTCTAGTATTTGATTTGCTATTACATTGGTACATGTAGATTTGAAAAGAATATGGTTTTCCAACTGGTAGGTTCTATATTCAGATTCACAAGATCAAGGTTATTATGTTCCTGTATTCCATATTCTCACTAATTTTGTGTAATAATAAATCACTAAGTTGTAACTATAAAACTGAAGTACATATGGACATGGTGGTTCATATCTGTAATCCCAGCACTTTGGGAGGTGGAGGTGAGAGGACTGCCTAAGCCTAGGGGTTTGAGATCAGCCTGGACAACCTGGTGAGAGACCTCATCTCTACAGTAAATAAAAAATTAGCCAGGCATGGTGGCGTGTGCCTATAGTTCCAGCTACTTGGAAGACTGAAGTGGAAGGATTGCTTGAGTTCAGCTGGTCAAGGCTGCAGTGGTCGTGATCATGCCACTGCACTCCAGCATGGGTGACAGAGTAAGACTCCAACTCAAAAAAAAAAAAATCTGAAGACACTTCATAATTGAAAATATAAGAACGCCCCCAAAAATGGAACAATGAAGACTGACTGGTACTCTCATGCTTTGTTGGTGAAAATGTAAACAAAGAGCTTAACTACTTTGGAAAACAAACTTACAATAAATGTTACATGCCAAAACATGGATGAATCTCAACATTTGTATGAAGTCCTAGATCAGGCAACACGAAACTACAGTATTGAAATAAGAACAGGAGTCGCCCCTGGAAGGAGGAAGGTGGGACTGACTGGGATGGGCAGAACACGATGCTCCAGGACACTGAAGACATCGCACGTGTTGATAAGAACGCACACGTCTGTCAAATTTGACTCAATGGTACACTTAAGACTTATTCATGCGACTGTATTTGAATTTTGCCTTAAAACATAAAACATCAAATTCAATTAATGACAGCATGCTGAAGTGTTTAGAGTGTAAAGGTTACTAATGCCTGTACTTTTTCAGATATGCACTTTAAAAGTTGACTTATGGGCTGGGTACAGAGAGGTTCATGCCTGTAATCCCAGCACTCAGGGAAGTCAAGGCGAGAAAATGATTTGAGCCCAGGAGTTGGAGACCTGCCTAGGCAACAAATGAGATCTCAACTCTACAAAAATAAAAAAATCAGCCAGTCACGGTGGCATATGCCTGTAGTCCCAGCCATTTGGGAGGCTGAGGCAGAAGGATTACCTAAGCCTAGAAGGTAAAGGCTGTAGTGAGCTGTGATCGTGCCACTGCATTCCAGCCTGGGCAACAGAGTGAGACTCTAATTCAAAAATAAATAAATGAGCAAGCACACAAACAAATAAAAGTTGACTACTGGACACACATAGGGAGATACATAATAATTATAAAGAAATTAGAGTAGCTTTATTTTAAGTTTCAAAATTTTCAGGCCAGGCACAGTGGTTCACAGTTGCAATCCCAGCACTTGGGGAGGGCAAGTGGGAAAGCTGATCAAGTCCAGGAGTTTGAGACTAGCCCAGGCAACATAGTGAGACCTTGTCTCTACAAAAAATCAGCTGGGCATAGTGGTATGTGCCTGAAGTCCCAGCTATTCAAGATGCTGAGATGGAAGGATCACCTGAGCCCAGGAAGTCGAGGTTGCTGTGACTGTCATGACCATACCACTGTACTTCAGCCTGGGTAACAAAGTAAGACCCCCAACTAAAAAAAAAAAAGGGAATTCTCAACTGGAAACAACATAAAAAGCCTTTCTAATTAGCTTTTATTGTTATTTAATATTAGCCTTTATTGACTTAATATTATGCTGAGGTAGCCCAAACTTATTATGTCATAAATTTCAAGTGTCAGACTTTCTATAAATTGTACGTAGCACAAGCAAATTAATCCTACCAATGATAGATTAATTTTTAAAAAATGGTTATCTAAAAATTTACATTAAAACTGATTTTCTTTTTAATATCATGGTGAACTGAGTCATTTTCTATACTTGTATAGGGAATAAAATAACTTACTGACTAATAAGGAAAAAACAATCAAGTAGAGATTCTAAAAGATTAGGAACAAAGTGTTCTTTTCTACTTAAAACAAAGTCAACATTTTTTTATCATAAAATGAGATAATTTAAAATAAAATTATAAATTGAGAGTATTTTTACATAGCCAAAGGCAGTTAAAAAAAAAATCACCAAACAATAATAACAAAAACAAAATAGGGTAAAAAGACACCTTGTGTACCCAGTAACATGTATTACACTCCCAAAACATTCAAGTGTTTTTAAAATATGGTTTTAAAAAGCTTACCCCTTCTGCTTCAAAGGTAATTCAAGTTTAAATATGGTAGCATCATTAACAACTGCTTTATATGCCTGGAAAAAATAATTTGAAATGAAATATGAACATTATTTTTGATATTTAAAAAACACAGACAAATTGTTACACTTCAAAAAACATACAAATAAAAATCAGTTTTCATCTTTATTGAGTTGGGGTCTCACTCTGTTGCCTAGGCTGGAGTGCAGTGGCACGACCATGGCTCACAGGAGCCTTGACCTTCCAGGCTCAGGCAATCCAGTCTTAACTGGTATTCTTGTTTCTTCTCTTACTCCTCCTCAGTCTATTTTTTGCAACAGCCACAGTGATCCTATAAATATGTAAATCAGGTTCTACCATTCTATTCAAAACCTTGCAGTGACTTCCCATCCTATTCACAGTTAAACCAAACTCCTCACCATGGCCCAGAGTCTTCTATCGTCTGGTCTCCTACTAGCTGCCTGACTTCATGTCTGCTATTCTCCCCCTGGCTCGATCCTGTCTGGCCACATAACCTCTTGCTCCTGGAGCGAGACAGGTCCACTCCGGCCTCAGAGCCTTGCACTGCTGTTCCCTCTGGCTGAAACGCTCCCTTCAGATAGCCACAAGACTTACTCTTTCATCGCCTTCAGTCTTATTTATTTTGTACTTTCTGTCCCTGCTTTAATCATGAAAGTCTTGATTTAAAGCCGGGCGCGGGTGGCTCATGCCTATAATCCCAGCACTTTGGGAGGCCAGGGTGAGAGGACTGCCTCAGCCCACAGGTTGGAGACCAGCCTGGGCAACTTGGCAAGACCTCATTTCTACAATAAATCAAAAAATTAGCTGGGCATGGTGGCGTGTGCCTGCAGTGCCAGCTACTTGGAAGGCTGAGGCAGAAGGATCACCTGAACCCAGCAGGTAGAGACTGAGGTGGTCGTGAACATGTTACTGTACTCTAGGTTGGGTGACAGAGTGAGACTCCAACTCAAAAAGAAAAAGAAAAAAAAAAAAGAAAATCTTGATTTAAAGGCTAATTCAATGAAGCCTTTGTAGGCTACTCAAACCACCCCACAACCTTCATACTCCCTTAACTTCTTTCCTGCTCTACCTAATTATTTGTCAACCTATTTTAAAACAGACAAAAAGTGAGAAAAAATTCCTACTGTAGAAAGTTGACTGTCTTTTTAGAATCATTCTAACTTGGGAAGTAATGAAAGGTAGTCAGAGAGGGGAAAAAGAACTAATGGCAATTTCTTGTGTTAAGATGATGACATTAAAAGAGATACAACTCTAAGGAAAATACGATGTTTCATTATTATGATCCCACACGAATAAGGATGGAAAAGGTGGCACGGAAGGCTATCGCTTCCCTGGCAAGCAAGGATGAGCGTAACGTAACTTCCAGAGGAGCCCGGTGAGAGCAGAGCAGAGGGTGGGCGGTGGAGGAGCAGCTCAGCTCAGGATGAGCTGGCAGGCAGGCAGGGTGTCAAGGAAGCTCGGGGAAAGAACACATGGAGCTGGGTCTCAGTGGAAGATGGCTAGGAATTCAATAAACAGACACATTCAAAACCAGAAAACAGTCTTGGAAAAACGAGGAAGAGAGTAACTTTCTAGCTAAATTCTAGTTGACACGGCTATCCAAGGCTTATAAAGTATTTAGTGATGCTTTAAAAAAAACACAGTTGCTCTTCACTGATTAAAAATTAGAGCTGCTAGGTTTTTAGCTTGTAATTTAATAGCATGATGCAAATTGCTTATTAAAATAAATTATGACAGTAACGCTTTAATCCACAAGTATTAATATACCTTATCTCTTGCAGTAAGAAATCGTGGATCATCTTGAAAAGCTTCTTTGACGAGTTTACTAAATCTATTAAATAGTGTAAGTAATTGTTCAACATATTTTTCAGAGTCCTAGAAACAAAATGTTTTACATTTCATTGAATTTTTAAAAGGAAAAGAACAATACAGGAAATAAGAAAAAATAAATAATTTTAATGAAAAACTATCGTATAAAATTGGGAAAATTTTTTCTTAAAAATAAAATGAAAAGGTACTCCAATATTACTGTTTTGCCATTTCAATCATTATTTTAAATACCCAGTCCTGTATTTTTAAATTTAATCTTTAATTTCAGCTGCCATAATAATGGCACAAATTTATGGGGTACAATGTGATATTTCAGTGCATGTACACACAGTATCATCATCAAAGCAGGGTAACTACCACATCCATCACCTCAAACATTTACCATGTCCTGTGGTGACCACACGCCAAATCTTCTTGGCTATCTGGAAATACACACCATGGTGCTAGCTGCTAGTCACCCACCCGTGTCACAGAACAGCAAAGCGTATTCTTCCATCTAACTGAAGATTTGTACCTGTGTGCACACCTGGCCCCTGCTCTTCCCCCACTGCCTCTGGTAGCCCCTATTCCATCCTGCATTTAAAAGATAACCTTGATACCCCTGGATCATGCTAACACTGCTGTTTTTGTTCAGGGGATCCATGAAGTGGCAAGAAGCTCAGCTGTGCATGTGCATATTTCTCCTTAATACTCATGACTCCCCCCATAGCTTACTGAATATGTATATTTGGCCACCCTGCTCAGCATAAATCCCTGTCTTATTCTTCCAACCCTCGAAATACTCTCTGGTTTCTGGCCAGAGGCTATGCTGCCCAGGCTTTCAAAATGGCCGCCTTGCAGGCTGTAACATAAAGTTCTCCTTTCCAGTTTAAATGAATTTAAAAATGAAAATAAAAATAACCTGATATACACCTAGCACTGCCACTGAAGAAAACTTACAGTAGTAATGGTTTCAGCAGCTGCCACCATGTCTGCCAGGCCAGCACTAATGATATGTTCCTCCAAGTCTTTCAACATTGGCTCTATCCCATTAGGAACTTTGTCCATCAGTGAAAACATTAAATGTAATTCTGAAAGAACAGAACACATTAATGTAATCATTTCATCTGCCAGAATAAGACTTTAGAGAAACAGTAGTTGCAAGTTTGTAATGTTAACAGTATTCTGAGGATACAATTAATCTAGGAGTTGTTATGGTAGGTATGAGTTCCTGATCAAGCTTCTCAAAAAAAAAAATTTTTTTTTCTTTTTTTCTGAGACAGGGTCTCACTGTCACCCAGGCTGAAGTACAGTGGTATAACCACAGTTCACTGCAACCTCAACCTCCTGGGTTCCAGTGATCCTCCCACTTCATCCTCCAGAGTAGCTAGGACTGCAGGCACATGCCACCACACCTGGTTAATCTTTTATTTTTGTAGAGATGGGGTCTCACTATGTTGCCCAGGCTGGTATCAAACACCTAGCCTAAAGTCATCTTCCCGCTTCGACCTCTCAAAACACTGGGATTACAGGCATGAGCTACTGTGCCCAGCCAACAAAAATTATTTTTTTAAAAATGTAATTAAAAATGATCAGATACTGTAAAACCTAACTCCTTTAAAATGTGAGTCATCTGATTTTCAATACAGCAAAATACTTTTCATTATAAGAAGTACAAAAATTTATAAGGAAGACTAGTACATTTTATAGAGTAGTTGCAATATTAAATATAGTCACATCATGACACGGTTAATAAAAGTAAAGATTATAAAAGAAACTGTACTAAAGATGATAAAACTGTATTTAATTTACAAAGCACTAGTTCATATGTTATACCATTTACTGATTTTTACTAAAACCCTACCTCACAGTACTGGTTACAACTAAATAAATCCTTTTGAAGAGAGTCTAACATAGATCTGACATAATTCTACTTAGACTGGCATACAGAATACAAATATTTCATGTATGCCAATAAGAAGCTGTCATGCAGGCTGCAGTACAGTGGCACAATCACAACTCATGGCATTCTCTACCTCTTGGGCTCAGGTAATCCTTCTGCCTCAGCCTCTTGAGTAGCTGGGACTACAGGTATGTGGTACCATGCCTGGTTATTTTTAAATTTTTTTTATTTTTTGTGGAGGCGGGGTCTCACTATGTTGCCCAGGGTGGTCTCGAACTTTTGGGTTCAAGAAATCCTCCCGCCTCGGTCTCTGTGCTGGATTATAGGTGTTGGCCACCACGTCTGGCCAGAAGCTTGCTTATTAATACTGAATTAATCTTGAAAAGTGTTTGAACTTAACAGAATTGAAATATGTACTTTAAATGCAACTAGAGACTAAGTAGGACCCTGCAGTTAAACACAATAAAATCTGGAGAAGATTACACTAAAATGTTCAAAATGGTTCCATCAGGGTAGCAGGGAGAAAGGCAACTCTGTTTTTTAGTTGTTATATACTTGCTACTTCTCAAAACATACTTTTATTAAGATATCTTAATTTAAGTAATTAAAAAATGTACTTCAGAAATCTACTATAAAAATTTTTGGAGAGATGGATGAAGATTATGAACATGGAATATTTTATTAATTTCTTTTTTGTTTTATTACCTTCCAAAAGGATTTACCATAAAATTCCACACAAAAGGCAAATACTTAGTTCTATCCTTTACCACACGTTTACAGTTTAAATTGGCCTTTAAAAGCACAGGGCTAGGGCAACCCCCTCAGGTCCCCTCCCGAGCTTTTCTGTCCTCTCACTAAATCCTGCTTTAAAAAAAAAAAAAAGGACAGGGCTACTTCTGAAAGAAAAAAAGTAAATTCACCATCCCTCCTCCCACACAAATACTGAAGCCTAATGGGGGTAAATGTTTAAAATTTAAGTTTATAAACACGTTAGCAGTGCTTCTGTGTTAAATATGATCCAACAGCAAAACATTAAATGATTTGATTCAAAGATACCCTCTTCAAAGATGATAACTTTATGCGACGTTTTACCTACTTTCAGTTTCATTTCGTTTGATCATGCCTTGACACTCTGCTAAAATAGTCTCTTTAAATGATGTCACCAGGGCATTTACACAGCATTCCATGAGCTGAAAAATAAAAAAAAAACTAGTCAAGGCTACTGTAAGCTGTATAGCACAAAGTTATTCCAACTCACAATACAAAACAATATTGTTCAACAGATAAAAAATAAGTGTGCTGAAAGTCGACGTGACTCACCTTTGCCACACGATTACTGGCAATGGACAGGCTATACTACTTCACCAAAGCAGAGTTCCCCCGAAGGGGAAGAACTATAGAACTTAGGTTCTCTTTAGAAATTTTAACAAAGGTCCCCAAGGAGAGGATAAAAAAACTAAAAACATACAAAACCAAAAAGAAAAAACAAACTTTGATGACCTCTTCCTACCTGGAGAGAATCTGTTTGAGAATTAGATTCTAAAATTCTCACAGCATGAACATACTCAACAATCAAAGAAGAGTAACCCCTATTCTTGATGAGATCACCATCTAATAAGTAGGGTGAGGAGGGCCTCAAACCTAAGTTGTGAGCTAAATATAATATAACTTGGCTAAGTAGCATATCTCACACACAGCCCACCCCCCAACCAAACAAAAACAAGCTATGAAACAACGCTTTTCTAGGGTAGTTAAAAAGGCCTCATCCACAAGCTGATACCTGAATTGGATCTTGAAAAGTAAGCACCAAGTCTTAAAATGGATTAGCAGTATTCTAGGAATAAGAAGCTGAAAATAGCAGGGAAGAGACAGCAGAGGAGAAGGCTAGAAAGATTGGCTGGAGCCAGATTAGGAACGAAATCTAGGTTTGGGATTCTATTCTATAGGCAGGAAAGGATGCACCGAAGGAGTTTTAAACAGGATCACCAGAATGGGATCCTCCTCCCGCTAGTTACTCTTAAGAACCAGCGGTCAGCAGTTGGCACAGAGGGGTAGGGAGGTGGCAGAAAGGGCTGGTGAAGCATCTCAAGAAGTCAGCAAGGGCCTCGCACTCCAGGAGGCCTTCGGGAAAGTCTCCCAACCTGGCAGATTCCACGCCATCCCTGCTCCCTCATGACACACAGTCACTTATTCCTCTTGCAGGGATAAAATAAACAGATCGTAAATACGGAAGTAAGCCACAATAAGGCTGCCATATCTCTTCTGAAAAACAGATCATCTATCCATATTAAGGGAGAGAAGTATGTGTCCTTTAAAAATTCTTCATTAAAAACTCTGTTGGAGGCCCAGCACGGTGGCTTATGCCTATAATCTCAGTGCTTTGGGAGACTGAGGCAGAAGGGACTGCTTGAGCCTAGGGGTTTGAGACCAGCCTGGGCAACAAAGCAAGATCCCGTATCTACATTAAAAAATTTCTTTTGAGTCGAAGTCTCACTCTGTCGCCCAGGCTGGTGTGCAGTGGCACACTGATGGCTACCACAGTCTTGACCTGCTGGGCTCAGGAGATCCTTCCACCTTAGCCTTCCAAGAAGCCAGAACTATAGGTGAGTCACCACGCCTGGCTCATTTTTTTATTTACGTAGAGACAGGGTCTCAGCAAGTCGCCCAGGCTGGTCTAAAACTCTTGGACCCAGGCAAGCCCTTGTCTTTACCTCCCAAAGTGCTGGGATTACAGTACAAAAACTTTTACAAAGTTAGTTGGACATAGTGGCTGGTGCCTGCAGTTCCAGCTACTTGGGAAGCTGAAGTTAGAGGACCACCTGAGCCCAGAAGGTCAAGGCTTCAGTGAGCCATGATCACACCACTACACTCCAGTCTGGATGACAGAGCAAGACTTTGTCTAAGTAAAAAAGAGAAATAAAATTGCTTTGAAATGGACACAATGCTTATAACCACTGACGCTGAATTCAGGTAATGGGGAATTATACAAGCTTTCCTACTTTGAAAAAATGATCAAAAATTTCCTTAAAAATTATTTTTTCGAAGTCCTTCTTCAAGAATTTTGCTAACAACTTCCTAATCTGTGTATGTCCATTTTTGTCCTAAGAAAATCACACACACACACACACAAAGTGGTGAAGAAGCGCGTGCCTTGCAAGGTGGCAGTCTGGACTAGGTGCAGCTGGCCATGCCTGCTTCCTGCGGGGGGTATCAGACTGAGAACAGGCAAGTCGAACGTGTGTAACCAATGGAGGACCAAGGAAAAGCACCATTTAAATAAGCTCTGAGTGCTCTGTTTTCAATTTCACTGAAAACCTTCACTTGAACTGTTCAGCAGTTATCAAATTTTGCAGATTCCAAAAATCCAGACCAGTGTGTTTCACATTATATGCTGTGAAGTCAGTTTTAATGGCTGTGACCAGCTTTTAAGAAAAATGACACAGAACAAAAATATCAGAGCTCATCACACATAACAATGAATATTATTTTTGCAAAATTTTGTTTCCAGATATGTACAAATAAACACAGCATACACTAAGCCACAGTATGCACCAAGTCACAATATAAAATGTTATTTCTTATTGTGAGTTACAATAAGGATTAAAAGGAGAAGCTAAACTGACAAGATAACTGAAGTAAACTGAGAAGAGTTTGGTAACTGCTTATATGAAAGGCATTAGAAATAGAAAAAGTTATTAAGTCTGGGTACGGTGGCTCATGCTTGTAATCCCAGCACTTTGGGCAACTTGGTGAGACCTTGTCTCTACAATAAATCAAAAAATTAGCCAGGCATAGTGGCGCACGCCTATAGTTCCAGCTACTTGGAATGCTGAGGTGGAAGATCACCTGAGCCCTGCAGGTCAAGGCTGACCCGGTGACTGAGAGCATGACACTGCACTCCAGCTTGGGTGACAGAGTTGAGACTGACTCAAAAAAAAAAAAAAGTTGTTGAATTAGTTTCTAGATTGAGAGGCTAAACAAATTACTGTAACAAGTGCCTTTTAATGAGCATTTACTTTGTATCAGGCATTATGCTAAATGCTTTACATATATTATCTCATTTAACCCCCACAACAACCTTGTGAAGCAGATGTTTACCTTATGAGGACACAGGCCAAAAGAAGTCAAATAACTTGCAAACACTGCATAGTCTGAATATACTGCAAAGACTCTGAGCTCTAATTTTGGGCCAGGTATGTGACTTCACAGCCTCCAACTTTTCTTACCTCTCCAACAGAACACATACACACTTAGTTATAGTCACACACTCAAGCTAAGTGTTTCAAGGAATAAAGAAGCATAAAACATGGCTCCTGCCCTCAGTGACCTTACAGTCCAGCTGGGAACATATAACTATACAGCTATAAATGTGTGCCTGCTTCACACGGACAGAGGTACAGCAAAAGAAGTTCAACGCCACTAGTAAGCAAGGAAGTGGAAATAAACACATCATCATGACACTAGAAACCTCGCAAGCATAGAGACTGTGCTCTGTCCACAGCCATATAGGCATGGTCTCGCACACAGCTGGTGCCTGACGAGAAACAACGGAGCAGTCTACAGTGTACCCCTAAACCTAGGCAGTGTAGGAATTCAAATAAGAGAAACTGATGAAGGCTAGAGGATCTCCACTACTTTATTACAAGGTGGGGTATATATAGGCTCCTTACAAGGATTTGGATAGGTAGAAGCAAAGTAAAACGTTACCAAAACGAATCTAAGCAAAAAAAAAAAAAAGAACAGAATAAGTTATATGAATGATGGAATATTCCTTATCGGAGTAGACTGACTTTTGCTGGATAGTGTTAAGCTAGAAAAACAGGCGAGGGACAAATTCTGAAGGGTCTTAAAAATCAGGGATGGAAAATAATGACACTCTGGTTTTTGGATAAAGAAGTAAAACAATGAAGAGGATGTTTATGAAAGTTTAGCCTGAACTCACCAAAAAGAGTTAAAAATGGTCAATAGTATGAAGAACTATGCAGTCCAGCCTGGCAACACAGCAAGATCCTGACTCTAAACATACATATTAGCCAAGATATGGGTAAGCAGGCACACTACTGATGAAAATAATAATTACTACACTTCTGAAAGCTGGTTTAGTATTTACTATGCAGCAATTTGTAAAAGGTTCATACCCTCTGCTTCAGTAATCTCATTTCCAGTGGAATTCATTACAACAGAAAGTCAAGTGTGAGAAATGATGCATACACAGGATATTAAAAAGATGTAGGCATATGAGGATATTCCAGTAAGTACCATTTATAAGAAATAAATGATAAACAATGAAAGTGGCCATCAGTAAGGACTGGTTAGAAATATTACAGTGTATTATATATGTTATAGTGTTATACAGATGTGTCTGGCATTAAAATGCACAATGTCATAAATTTCTTTTTTTTAAAACCTGGTTCTCACTCTGTCATCCAAGTTGGAGTGCAGTGGTACGATCATGGTTCACCGTAACCTTAAGCTCCTGGACTCAGGCAATCCTTCTGCCTCAACCTCCCTAGTAGCTGGGACTACAGGCACACGCTGCCACACCTGGCTAATTTATTTATTTATTTATTTTAGAGACAGAGTTTTGTCATTGCCCAGGCAGGTCTCAAGCAATTCTCCTGTCTCAGCCTCCCAAAGTGATCGAATTACAGATGTGAGCCACTACTGCCGGCTACAAGTTTCTTTTCTAAAAAAGGAAGAAAGGAAGGTAAAGAAGGAAAAAAAGAAAGAAGGGGAGAAGAAGAAAGGAAGAGGGGGAGAAAGGGAAACAGGGAGAGAGGAAAGGAAAATAAGGGAAAAAAATAATAAAAAAAAGGAGTGACCAAACAAGTATGACAAAATGATAACTGCTGAATCTGAAGGCTGGCTATAGGAGTATGAGTGTGGGATTCATTGCACAATTTTTTCTACTTATGTAGATATTTCAAAACTTTCATAACAAAGCTATGTTGCCCAGGCTCATCTTGAGCTGGCTTAAGTGATCTTCCCGCTTCAGCCTCTCAGGTGCTGGGATTACAGGCCTGAGTCATTGCACCCAACTTAAAGCTTTTAAAAAATAAATACACAGAGAAAAATTATGGTATAGATTCCTGTATATGGAAAACCCCTTCAGAAAATGATTCTACTCAAAAAAAAAAAAAAGGGGAGATGCTACTTGTAATTCTCTCCTTATTTTATCAAATGAGTCTTG